CATGACTTGTCGAAAATCTGGAAAAGAGGCTATTTATAGCCTAGAAAGGAAAACCCTAGAGTAATGGCATAGTTGTAATTAAAAACAGGTTCGGGCTGGGTCAGTATCGGTCAGTCGTGTCGATCTCCAGTGATCGAAATGGGTCCCTATCGGTTTTCAGTGATCGACACAAAGGACCAAAATTAATCCGATGTGTTTGTGTCGATCACACTTGACCGATACTGGTGACCGATATGCTCCGTATCGGTCACTCTTGACCGAAACTCTCTGTGCTCTGACCGAAAACTTCTATAGAGATCTTCTGCTGTGATCCTTCTTGCTCCCTTTTGCCCAGCTAGCATCTTGTATCATTCCGAAAACTCCTCCAAGCTCCTTTAAGCTCCAAAAGCACCTAAAAACATCCAAAATGTAAAGAAAATGCAAACTATACTCTAAATGCAACCTAAGTCCAAAAGGAGAAGAAAATGGAACAAAAGCAAAGGGAAAACATGAAAAAGAGGATCAAAATATGTACTAAATGCAGCCCTAAATGGTGTAAATACAAGGGATATCACTTATGGTACTGTGATTAGGTATACACCTGAAACCAGAACAAAGAAAAGTAGCAGAAAATTAGTAAACAAATTAAAACTTAAGCAAAATCCTAATACTGAAGATCGATAGGCAGCTATTACTTTACGACAACAGCGCCAAAAACTTGATAGGGCTCAGGTTTTACTCAAATAAAAACTACTGCAAGTGCACAACAAAGCAGTTGTAGTATAAGGGGTTATCGAACCCAAGGGAAAAAGTAAACTACACTAACAATTATAGTTTTAGACTAAGCTAAGCAGTAGATAATAAATGTAATTCTAAATAGCTAAAACAATGAAAGCAAGCAAAATTTGATTGATCTAAGACTCAGAAAACTAAAAGCGATAAGTCAGGACAATTCGCAGGTTGAATCCGAGAATGTAGAATGCATGAAATCAGGAATGAATAAGAACCATCTTGAACATGAACCGTAAATATATAACTAATCAATTCTGATTGCAGAAGTTAACTATGTCTAAATCAGAGAGTTTCAAATCTCTTTGCGAACCCTAACAATCTAAACATGCAGTAATGATCAGGTTCAATTGTTCACAAAACTCCTAAGCCAAATCTCTTTGCACTAAGTCGTTTTGCTCATCTAATGCTAGATCAGGTTATCAATAATGCTCTCACATCTATTAAACAACCTAGGTTTTGAATTTCCAGATGATGCGTCTAAGAAAATCGGTTTTAAAGTAAGCACATATGAAGAACCAACAGATATTCCTAACAGGTAGCGATTTCTACAAATTCATCATCAACCTTTTAAAAGCCCAAACTTAACTAGAAAATTACTCAGACATGATCATGGAATCATAAAGCATAGCTGAATAAAATTGCATTAAAGAGAAAGAGTAAAAGTTAAAGGGGTTCGAAATCTTCTCAAAAGAGTACAGGATCTGTCTCCCCAAAAAGCTCTGAATAAATCTCTCTCTAAAACTCTCTGAATTCTAAAATCTAAGATAAAAGCCAACAATGGCTGAAAACCTAATATATAGAAGCTAAAACACGAGCTGGAACACTTTTGTAAATACTAGAACTTCTGGGGCAAAAGTGCAAATAATCCTCCATCTTTTAAAAACAAGCCACGATCCTTCCCAGCTACGGGTGACGAGTGTCACCCAAGCCAACATTCGCCTTCTGAGTTGCACACTTCATGGTTGTATCTTGCAATGCTCCAAAAAGCTCCATAATCTCCAATTGTGCTCCAGACATGCTTTAACATGCAAAGACTCTACTAGGACTCTAAAAAGACCAAAAAGACTCAATAAAAAAAACTTGTACCATGGTTAAAAACCATAAAAACTATGATATATCATATACACGGGTGATGCTAACAGTATGCGCAGGTGGTGACGTGTCTAGGGGGACGCTAACATGTCTATGTTGATCCTAACATGTGTATGTGGATGCTAGCATGTGTATGTGGACGCTTACATGTCTACTTGAACACTAACTTGTCTACGTGGACGATAACATGTAAGTGTGGACTGTAACATGTAAGTGTGAGCGCTAGCGTGTAAATGTGGGCCCTAGCGTGTATAGGTGGGCGCTAGCGTGTAAATGTGGCCGCTAAAATGTCTGGGTGGCCGCTAACATATCAAAGTGGCCGCTAACATATCAGAGTGGCCTCTACATGTCTGGGTGGGTGCTACACGTCAAGGTGGCCGCTAACATGTCTGGGTGGACGCTAACATGTGTGGTGAACGCTAACATGTGTGGTGGACGCTAACATGTGTGGTGGACGATAACATGTCTGGGTGCACGCTAACAATAGAGCCCTTACCCCATCTGATTGGTTTGTTCCTTCCATGCACAAAGTCAACTTCCTCACCTTGGGATTTTCCAAGTCTGGGGACACCTACGGTGAAACAAGTATCATCGTGCATCGGTAACTGGTACCACATAGAGCAACTAAACGGATCTTACTCACCTGGCCCGCGATAGACAACCTATTTCCATCTACAACAGGATCTCCCTCCAGATGGTCTGGAAGAACTTCCACTTTGGTGACTACAGTACGTAGATTATTTGTAATGGAAGTTTTAGATTCCACTTCGATGTTAGCAACTCACTTAACCTGTCACAATCATACAAATAAAATTATAGTTAGCAGATACTATTTGCCATCCCGTGGCAGCCAAATGAGAAATGTGTTGTATATAACAGAAATGTTATCATGGCAATAATTTATTTATCATCTCAGATTGTTTGAGTTAGCAGTTATGCCAAGTGGATGCTGTTTAATAATTAAAGTCCCCCATGAAAGGCTTCCCTCACTTACTGGTACGGGGAGAGTGGATTGTGAAACCTCATCGGTAGCCCAGACAAACGAAGTGCCTCGCCCCTCCCTTGGCTGTTTGCCTCCGACCTGTTCAAAGACGTGACACCATTAAAACTTATGATGCAAGGTGTCCGTAGCTCAGTAACTAACCTGCCCCGCCGTTAAGCATCGTCTGTATAAATAGCGCAATCTCTCCTACAATCCTATCCACTTCACTATTCTTTATGTCATCGGCTGCAGCACCTTTGCCGTCTTGGCGGCCGGGACGGAAACTTCGAGACGCAGATATGGTGCTAATGACTCAGGAGGGTTGGTCTTCTCTGTGCTCGATAATAAGGTTATCTTTAAACCACTTACTCATGGTGCCGATAACAATCTGGTTGTTGGCAACGAGCTCCTTATTAACAGCCCTGACTATCCTCTCCTCCACGTCCTTTAGTGCATCGGCAATAGACGAAGCCACTGCTAAAGTAGTGTGGGTATCTGGCGCCGTTACTCCAGCCGTTTTCTTTTGAAGTCCACCGGGTATCCTGGTTGTTGATTTCCCTTTATTCCCGCAGATATTTTTAGTCTTCGGGCCTCCTTTCGGTGCTGTTTGATGCCGTCTGATCTATCAGCTCCGCCAGTTGCCTACCACCAACAAACATTTCCCAGTTGAATTTAAACTCTTTCCCAATAATTCGAACCATGTTAGTGATGCACACATCATCCTCGTCATCCGACCACGAGAGATCTTTCTCATCAGGATTTATCACAGCATCTGGAGATAATCTCCACCTGTTAAATGCGAAAAGATATCAAATATCTAGTTAGCAGTTCAACAAATAAATTGTTGACTCGAATAAACAAAGTTAGCAGTTGTAGAATTAGCTGCGCAACAAATAAATTGTTGATTTGAATAAACATAATTAGCAGTTTCAGAGTTAGCGGTGCTGCAAACAGTGGTTGTTAAGTATTAACCATGTAACAAAAAAATAGGCAACTCAGATAGCATTGAAGAATGAAATTGAGAATTTCGTTTCAGAAAAAACTCACATCTGAGGATTGGTCCAGGTCTCTGGCATGACTTAGTTTAAGCTGAGGCGGTTGGGAGGCTATCTCCGCTAAATTGTCATCATCCTCATGTGAATTAGCGTCTTTTGGTGACCTCCTCCTCAAAATTGAAACAACCTTTTCCACCATGACATTCTCTTCTTGCCCGAATAGCTTGTCATAGAACGGTTTTTTCACCGGCTCAGTGTTCTTTCAGCGCGTCTTCTCTTTATGCGGATACTTTTTGCAGCGATGTCCGGTTACCAGTTTGAACTTCCTCAAAGAGAATCGGATTGGCAATCCGACGAACAGGATCCAGATCTCGTTATCTCGGGCAACTTCCAACTGGTGCGACAACAAACAGGCCAAACCCCCCGGACCATTTGGATTTTTTATGGAGATCCAACAACTGCCCGATCTGTGAGTCGCAGTAAATTTAAATTCGGTTTCATCGAGAGTGTCTTTTATTTGCTCCACTAGTGCAGTCTTTTAATACACATTGACCCTGTGACCGAAAATTCTCTGGTCGATGATAATCATCCGTCTCGGCAACTCTAGGATTTCCTCCTGTAACAAAGGATATTAAATAATCGCTCGCCGATAGTGAAAAGAACAAATTAAATCCCAATTCATATCATAATAATTTATATGAACGGTGAGTACAATGATCCGATGTTCGCCCACTAAAGTCTACCTTCGATTTCGTAGTTCGTCGGAGACTCTGGATGACTGTAAACCCTAAAACAACAGAAAAGAAACTAGAACGGTAATGGAAAACACAGAAGAGTTTGTAAAAGAAAATTCTCTTTCTGAATACTTTTTGTCGATCAGTATCGAAAAAGTAACTATGAAATCCATATATCTATGATACTATATCTTTATAGAGTTGCTTAAGTAGGGATATGAGAGTTTTTTAATGATGAACAAACACACCAAAAAATTATCAAAAACAAATGCCTAAATTTCGATATTAACTGAGACCATTTAGCACAATTACTCGGAAGAAAGTAATGTCTGAAAAAGTATCCTTGTGATTGGACCGAAGTGATTAAAAACAAAGAAAAGTCATGAAAACAATGATAAATATCTGAACGGATTATTATTTATTGGAATGCGAAGGTAAACAGTCTCGAGAGTAAGAAAAAACAAAAAAGTCTCGAGAGTAAAGAAAACAAATCCTCCTCAGAACTTACTTTCAACAATGGCGAAATTACCACCATTCTTCGTCACATCTCTTGCTGGCCAAAACATCAATCCCGTAAACTCTCTCTCTCTCTCTTGCTGCCTTCTCTCTCTGGTACAACTTATCAAGAGAATCAATTTGTTTTTGTGATTGTTGTTGCAGATAATTCCTGATGAGTTTTTCTCTGGTAAAAATGAGTTTATGAAACTGAAACTGACTTGACGCTTTCGATAAAACCTGGGAAGTCAAACTTAACGACCAGAGGTTCGCCAGCGGCTGGGAAGATTTCTCCGCCGCCCACTGTCTTCGAGACGACGACGTTTTGGTTTTTAGACACGAGGGTGATATGGTCTTCCACGTCACACCTTCCGGACGCAGTTTCTCTCACAAGAACAACAGTGTGTAGGTTCTTCCCAAGATGATGATGATGATGATGATGATGATGATGGAGACGACGAGACTTGGGACGATGATTCAGATTCGATGAACAAGAAGAAATCAATATCAAAAGCAGATTCTTTGACTTCAACGAAAAACTCTTGTTTGCTCGCCGTCTCGCCGTTAAATCTACGCAAAAATATAGTGGTTACTACTTTAGACTCAAAACTCTTTGACTTCAATAGTTTTTGTGAGCCATCTAAATAAATATATGAGAATTAAAATTTTCTTGTTTTTTTTTAATGTTTGTTGCGCGGAATCTTTCAAAACCCTTTTCAAGATCAAATGGTTTATACAAGAGATGCTGCGAGATTGATCTAATGAATCAAAGTGGAAAATCATGGGTTCTTGGTTTGAGACACAACAAAACTACTGGTCAAGTTTATATGATTAGAGGGTGGAGAAGTTTCTGCCAAGCTAATGATCTAAAACACGGGTTTTCTTACTAGTTTAAACTTGTCCTGAATGGGACAAGGCCTCTGCTACAGTTGTGTTCTGACATTGCTCCAGAACGAAACTGTTCCAAACCAATTGTAAAAGCTAATGCTTCGGTAAAATCCAGCAGTGAAGGAAAGAATAAGTTTCTGACAGTAACTTTGAAGCCTTACATGTTCAAGTCAAGACAACTTGTGAGTTTTCAACATTTTTTAGGTCTAGGGTTCATTTTGGTTGATCATTTTCTTTGTAATACTTAATGGATGACTTACTTGTTGCAGTATCTTCCGAGATTTTTTGCGAGGGAGAATGGGATCAAGGAGGAAGGCGAGATAACTTTAGTGGACAAAAATGGAGTAGAGTGGCCGTCGAATTTAACTTCTACCAGAGAACAATCAGAGTTTTATGTGACAAAAAGTTGGATAAGGTTTTGTGAAGCCAACAGGTTAAAGATAGGAGAGACTTTCACGTTGAAGTTTGTTCGAGGAGACACAACTCCAATGCTCAAGTTCTGCTCCAAGGCCAAGGTCAAGGTGGGCAAAATACCTTGCAATTCAAGTAAAATTTTGTGTTTATAATGAATTAATGTATTCAAATTTTGAAAATGAATTGTATTTAGATGGAACAAGTACCACTTGATAGCTCCCAAGGGACAGTTCAAGCTTCACAGGAAGAAGAAGAAGCTGAGACTCGAGTCCAAAAGAGTGCTCGTGTTTCTGCAGAAGGAGAACCCTCTCATTGCACTCGGGCATCAAACAAATCCAGTGTTGATCGGAAAAACTCGCAGTGCAAGCAACCGCTACAACCTTGCTCAATCTCTGATCAATTAAGAAAGGTGAAAACAGAGTATTGTGGATACTTTAACTGGTGTGAGACAGTTTCGGTCCGAGCTTGAGATAAAGGAACAAAATTTAGAAGCTTCGCTGCAGGAAATGGATGCGTTAGGTAAGATCTGTACGCTGATGAACACTTGATTTGTTTGAACATATATGTTGGTTCTATTTTTCTGACGTTTTAATGTTGAAAAAATAAAACAGGGGACAGGGTGCTGAAAATCAACAAGTTCTTCAAGTAGCAAGTTTAAGAGTGAGCTATAAAGATCAGGAAATGGAATTGAGACTTTTGTAAATTTTATTTGTCTTTGTTTCACTAGAGACGACATTTTCTTCATCTTCCTACGAACTAAATTATGTTTATTCTTGGGTAAATTATGTTTATTCTTGGTTTATCTGTTTGTGAAGTGTGTCATTCGATAAATAAGCTGATTTCTAAGTCATTGTTTTTTGTTTTAAGGACTTGGTTACATCATTTTGATTTTTCAAAGACTTCATAACATAGTCCCACATCGGAAGATTAGATAATAATGGTCTAATATATAAGTAATTTTCAACTCTGATTAGTATGAAGCCTTTTGGGAAAAGCTTAAAAACAAATCCGTGCGAGCTTTGTCACTTAGGCTCAAAACGGACAATATTATACTAATAAGAGAGTTGGACATGAGTTTGAAAAGTAGATTGGGCCTGTTTGTTCGTTGTGGGAGAGTCCTCAAGGTGACTTTACGATTAAGGGTGCCTCGGTACAAGATGGTACAAGATGGATGCCAAATTTTGCTGAAGGTTGGAAGCAAAGGACTTGTATGGTCCTTGGCTTGAGGGGAGATTATTGGGATATCAATCCAAGTCCCACATTGGAATATTAGACAATTATGGTCTAATATATAAGCAATGTCCAACTCTATTTTTTATGAGATCTTTTGGGAGGAGCCCAAAGACAAATCCGTGCGGGCTTTGCCACTTAGGTCCAAAGCGGACAATATCATACTAATAAAAGAGTTGGACATGGGCTCGAAAAACCCAACAATTGGTATCAGAGCCAAGGTTCAGAAAAAAGGTGGACCTCGGGAAGTAGGTTGGGCCTGCTTGTTCGTTATGGAAAAGTCCTCAAGGTGATCTTGCGATTAAGGGTGCCTCGGTACAAAATGGTACAAGACGGATGCCAAGTTGCGCTGAAGGTTGGAAGCAAAGGACTTGTATGGTCATTGGCTTGAGAGGGGATTATTGGGATATTAATCCAAGTCCTACATCGGAAGATTAGACAATAATGGTCTAATATATAAGTAATGTCAAACTTTGATTAGTATGAGACCTTTTGGAAGGAATCCAAAAACATGGGCTTTGCCATATAGGCCTAAAACGGACAATATCATACTAATAAAAAAGTTGAACATGGGCTCGAAAAACCCAACATTCACTACTCATTCAAAAAGAGAAAACTTTCGTCAAGATATTGGAAGAATCCAAAGATCACTATGGTATTGTTATGCTGAATAGAAAATACTATGAAGGTGTAATATAATTTCTCCTATGTTCTTTCTCAAAATCTCAATCACCCCGTCGTGTTTCTTCTTAAGATTAGTTTCTTCTCGTTATGGCTCTTTCTACACTTTTCTTTAGAGTAAGCAACAAGACGAGGAAGAGACGTTACAAAAACAGAAAAAGGTAAAAGAATCTCTGAAAAAGTATGGATTCTTCATTCTTATCCTAGTGATTTGACCCAAGTATTGAAAAACAGATAAAAGTCTTGGAAACAATGATAAAACTAACCAATATACTTTAGGTAAGATCTATACGCTGATGAAAACTTGATATATTTTAACTATTTTTGGTTCTATGTTTCTTACATAATGTTGAAAAAAAAAACAGGAGTGGAAGTGTTGGAAATCGATAAGAGCATTTCCAGTAGCAGTACTCTCTAAATCGTATTTCATATATATCCGTGTATTGCACAAATTTATAACAAGGAAAATATCCGTGTATTGCCTAGATTTATAATAATTTAAATATTTTAATTTTATAATTATTTTAGTAAATATTTATCAATAAATATAATATATAATTTATAAATAGCATGTAGTTTTAGATTTTGTATTAAAAATTTGATAAAATAATAATATCAACAATTAATGAAAACTTTTTATATTTATCAGAAGCATATAATGTATTAAATTATTATTTTTTAGCCAATAAAGAGATATTATTTTGTAGTATAATCAATCTGAAATATTTTGTGGTGAAATTTGTAACTGTAAAATAGAGTGTAAATATTTTTGAGGAAATGCTCTAAAATGATCAACTTCGGCAAAATATTGTCAAACATACACCCTTTTTTACAATAATTTTTTTATTCCACTGCTCCTCTTCTACCCATTTAGATTTCGGAGGTATTATTAGTTTTTGTATTTTAATGGATTTGAGAATCCAAACTAAATTCAGTGTTATTGGTTATTGTATTTTAAAATCTATATTGAAATACAGTGTTATTGGTTCTATGATTTTAAAATCTATAATAAAATATAGTGTTATTAGTTCTATAATTTTAAAATCAAAATATTATAAGGATTTCAGTTTTAATTGAATTTGAATCGATTTGGAAGAATTTTTATGACTAAAATACAAAGACTCAAATACAAGGTCTAACATTGGTATTTGAGTGGATTTTATTTTTTTCCATTTTGCTGATTTTAAAATCAATAAATTTATCAAATCCAAAGAAGATTTCTAATTCCATCAAAATACAAGAACCAATAACTCCTACTTAGTTATATTTATTAATTACGTTAGCTTATTAAAATGGTTATTTACAATTTAAGTCTGACCAGTAGTAGTTCAGCCCTTGCAATGTCGCTGTTGGAAAGCAGAGACTACGCAGACTAACACATGAAGAAGAAGTCTGAGGCACACCTAAGTTATTTTAGATGATTTAAAAATGCAGATCACTTCCTCTATAAATGGGGGTTATTGGGTTTAAGTAAAAAAATGGATTTTGAAAATATTTCTTGTGTAATTGGGGATTATTGTTTTATGTAAAGAAAACAACACAGAGACGTTAAACAGACGTCTGGCAGACTGATGGCGAACATATATTCCTCCCGCAAGCGAGAAGCAGAGGCTGCGCAGACTCACTTCACATTCGACTACTATTATGATATCATGTTATGATTTGGCCAGTCGTACTCATTAACAACGTGTCGTAGTTGTTTCTCTCTCTCGGTAAATGCCGCAAAAATGTTAGATTGTCACCAAATCAACTCGGGTTGTGGGGGACAAGAAGACACAAAGACATCCTATGTTTGACGAGATGCAGAGGTTAGAGAGGCATCTGACAGACTGATGGCGAACATATATTACTCCTGCTGGCGAGAAGCAGAGGCTGCGCAGACTCACTTCATCTTTGACTACTATTATGATATCCTGTGACGATTTGGCCAGTCAAACTCATTCACGACATGCCATAGTTGTTTCTCTCTCTCGGGTAAATACCGCAAAAATATTATATTGTCACCAGATCAACTTGGATTGTGGGGGATAAGAAGACACAAAGACGAGGGCATCCCATGTTTGACAAGACGTGATATCCCTTGTATTTACACCATTTAAGCCTGTATTTAGTACATGTTTTGGTTCTCTTTTGCATGTTTTCTCTTAGTTTTTGTCCCATTTCTTTCTCCTTTTACACTTAAGTTGCATTTAGGGTATAATTTGCATTTTTTTTGCATATTGGATGTTTTTAGGTACTTATGGAGCTAAAAACAGGCTTGGAGAAGCTTTGAGGATGATCCAGGAAGCTAGCTAGACCAAAGGGAGCAAAAGGGATCAAAGCAGATAATCTCTGCAGAGCTTTTCGGTCAGAGCACGGAGAACATCGATCAAGGGGTGATCGATGTAAGATTTTCGGTCAGGAGCATCGATCAAGAAGTGACCGATATGAGCACATCAATAATCAGCATCGATCAGGAGTGATCGGTACAAACACCCTGGGATAATTTCGGTCACTACATCGATCACTGCCCAGACCGATATAACTCTACATCGATTAACCCTGACTGTTGTAACTGATCGATGTAAACCCAGTCCAGACCTGTTTTATTTACACTTTTGTCATTACTCTAGGGCTTCCTTCTTTAGGCTATAAATAGCCTCTTTTTCTAGATTTTCGACAAGTCTTGTCAATTTACTGTTCTTAAGTATTTCCTTTGAGTTTGTAAGACAAAAACCTTTGCTTTATTTAATATATTTGAGTATTTTCTTTTAATCCTTCTTTATTCTCTCTTCTAATCATGATTAACATCTTTTCCCTTTGTAATTTGGTGTTAAACATGAGTATTAGTGAGTAGTTTGTTTAGAGTTTCTGGATGTGGTAGATTAGAAGAATTTAGGACTCGATTAAGGCTTGTTTAGTGCTTCATTTTATGGGTTCCTCTCTATTAATCTGTTCTTAATGCTAGATTTGTCTTGATCACACTTATCTAGGTTGTTAGCTTTCTCTTATGCCCACCAAGTGTTTGATGAAATGCTGATCTTGTTTAATAGAGGATTTTCTGGCCTTGGTTCAAGAGATTGACTGTTTGAGGAGAATTTTGACTTGAATAGAGTTGTTATCTAATACTTGCTTAATATTTTAGCACTAATGAGAGTTAGTTCTTGTTAAGATGTTTAGCAAAGGGCTATTTTACAAGAGATTGGATCCAGCTTGCTTGATTGTGAACTCTATGTCTAGGAATCACCATTGCTTGCTTGTTTGCTTGATCAATGTAGTTTGAAACAGCCTTCGTTAGTTTCTGAATTCCCCAAAGTCAATAACCACATCTAGGAACTTGCTTTTCTCTTATTTGAATCTCAAATTTCCCCTGTTTTGCTCTGTCTTGCTTGCTTAGTTTTGCTTAGTTTTATTTTGTCTTTACTCTCTTTGCTGCTTGATCATATTAGGATATTATATTGATTGCTTTGGCAACAAAAACATTTTTCTGCTTGCTTCACTTAGAGATTTTTACTCTCAACTCTTCTGTTTTCAACTAAAACCCATTTGGATTGATAAAAACCTTATGCTATACTACAACTGACTAGTACAAGCTTGGGTGATTGAATCAAGACCCCAAAAATCTTGTATCAAGACACGGACGTTAGACAGGCTTCTGGCGGACTGATTGCAAACATATATTCCTCCTGCAGGCGAAAAGCAGAGGCTGCACATACTCACTTCACCTTTGACTACTATTTTGATAATCTGTGACGATTTGACGAGTTGAACTCATTCACAACGTGCCGTAGTTTTTCTCTCTCTCGGGTAAATGCCGCAAAAATGTTATATTATCACCAGATCAACTCGGGTTATAGGGGACAAGAAGACACAAACGTTTGAGGAGACGCAGACATTAGACAGGTGTCTGGCGGACTGATGACGAACATATATTCCTTCCGCAAGCGAGAAGTAGAGGCTGCATAGACTCACTTCACCTTTGACTACTATTATGATATCCTGTGACGATTTGGCCAGTTGAACTCATTCACAACGTGCCGTAGTTGTTTCTCTCTCTCGGGTAAATGCCTCAAAAATGTTATATTGTCACCAGATCAACTCGGGTTATAGGGGACAAGAAGACACAAAAGTTTGAGGAGAGCAGATGTTAGACAGGTGTCTGGCGGACTGATGGCGAACATATATTCCTCCCGCAGGTGAGAAGCAGAGGCTGCACAAACTCACTTCACCTTCGGCTACTATTATGATATCATGTGACGATTTGGCCAGTTGAGCTTAATCAAGACGAATAATTTTTTCTTATGGCGATTTGGCGAAGATCTCAAAGACAATGTGTCATAGTTTGATTATCACTACACAAACTTAGTTTGCACATGTCAGTTTAGCATAACCGATTGACGAGGGCATCCCAGATTTGAGAATGAGGTAGGAACACATATAAATATATAAAAAGCATGTCCTTTGTTTAGCGGTTCCAATATAAACATATATCAATTTATTAGGGATAATCGATTAATAAATGGCAATTTTGTTATTATTTTGAAAAAAAATTGGTTAAACGGTACTTTTCGCATAAATTGGACCCCTGATATGCTCAAATTAACCCTTAGAGCTACTCCCTCAAATTAAGAGATCACTGTAGTACTTAGGGATCGAATCCACAAGGATTAAGACTATTACTCAACAGACTTTAGATTCAAATATAGCTAAGCAATCAATAACAGATAAAACAAAATGGTAAATAAAGGTAACAAGAGTGGGAGCAGATTATGGGTTCTTAAAATCAATGAGACAAGGCGCTAGGCAATGGAAAATTCGCAGGTTGACATAAATTGCAGACCACAGACTGAAATGATTATTAGTTAAAACCGTTTTAGAACTCGAAAACACGAATGTAAACCAATCGACTTCCGTCGCAGAGATTAACTATGATCAGATTCTAGAATTTCAAATTTCTTTGCAAATTCTAACAACCCTAAGCAAGCATTATGGTTCAGGTTCAGAAATGTTCACAAAATCACTAATCCAAATTCCTTTGCAATTAGTTATTTTGCTCATCTAAGATAGTTCTGGTGATTAATTCACAGCATTGTCCAATAACTATCATTGCTAAACCTCATTAGCAGCCTAAATATTCAAGAACCTTCTAGATTTATTCCCATACTATACCTAAATAAATTTG